CTGATCAAACATCTGTAATAATTACTGGGTATCATTCACTTATATAGCGTTTTGCTGCAGCTATTTCAGTGTGGCAGCTTTTCAAATGTGTTTTTATTATAAACAGATATTCATCCTGAGTCGTGAAAAGGCTGGGGTTTTGCCCAATGTAAAAAAAAAAAAGATCATTCAATTTCTATTACAAATGTTCTTTTCAGCCTTGTCTTGCCAAAACATATGCAGAAGGGATTCAACGCAGGAGATTACATTTACAGATTTCATTGCATTTGTTTCCTTATTTTTTCAATGCTAAAGGGAGAATGGTTAAGATACTACATTAAAGTGGTTGTGTAAAATATTTTGTGACAACTAAAACTAGTAATTTAATATTTAATTTGAGACTAATTAGATTAACTACAATCCTTTCTGATATGAGGTATTACATGAATGCAACACACCGTCATACGGTGTTTGGTTTCCATCTCTGATCCACACCTTGAAATGTGGAGGAGGGAGATTTCCTAATATTTGCAGTTTCCCAACATTGTTGTTACCTTGCTAATGAGAGGACACCCACTCCTGTACCTGTATATAAGCAAAGCTCAACACTCAGAGAAACTCAAAAACCTCCTCGACTCTCTGCGAGACAATCTGCTGAAGTTGTGAAGAATTGAAGGTAATTATATATTTTCTTTCTTTACTTCTAAGTGGGAATTTGCTCATATTTTAGAAAAGCTGCATCACTCTTTATTTCTTCCTTCTAACAGAGTGATCACTGTAACCATGCTGAAGCTAGCTCTTGTTCTTGGATGCCTCCTGAGCCTGGCTCTGGCTCAGCCTGTAAGTGTAACATTTTCAAACTTAATATCAGTACTTTTCTTCTCATACCGTGATAAAAGTATTTTAATTGTTTTTAGTAAAATGAAGGCAGTATCATAATTGTGGCTTTCCCTACAGATGGACACCGAGCACAAAAGACTTGCTCGCTCAAGCTCTGGCTCTGGCTCTGACTCAAATTCAAATGAGGTGACTGCTTTCTCTATCCTCTACAGTTCAACATTCTAAACACTTGATTGTGAAATGATATACAATTCCCTAGCTACTCCTCTGCTTTATTTGACAATGACTCTCTGATTTTCTTGCAGAACAACAACAACAACAACCAGCAGGCCATTAACGTCCAGTTGATTCAGGCTATCCTTCAGCTGTTAAACCGGCTAGCGACCACTGCAGCTACAACTACAGCTGCTACTACAACTACTGCTGCTCCTACTACCGCAGTGGTCACTCCCCCTCCTGTAACAACATAAGAGTTGGATGGAAAACCATGTAATTTGTGGTGTAAATGTGTGATGAAAATGTTTGTTTACACAATTTCCCTACTTCCTTGAATTGTATGTATTCTCTGTAGTTTCTACAAAATAAACTTCAATGTAAACAATATACCAGACATATTCGCTTTTCTTAAAACATAATGTGTATGATTAACTGTGTATGTGTGTGTCAAAAACATAATTATAGATGGATAGATAGTTACTCATAGTTTTTTGGGGAGATGGAAGCTGTGGAGGACCTTAGGGATCTTTCAGCAACATAAAATGTAAGAAGATCGTGTTGTTTAAAGCCCCATAAACACAGTTATAACACCTTCACTGTTCGCACCTCTGAGTATCTGTCTGACCCAGTTGGCCAGCTAATTGGATGACTGAGGATGATAAAAGGTGGACCTGCTGACGGAGAACCACTGCAAACGCTTGGTGACTTCCATTTAAATCATAAAAGAAAATCATTAGAGGAATCATTGAGTATAGGTAGGCCTAGCTGCAAATACATATACATATTTAAAAATTATATATAATATACATCTTTTAAAATTCACAAACAGTTTGGTTACATGGTTATATACCATTGTAAAAACATTTCAACTTAAATTTAAGTCCTATCATCAAATAAAAAATACCTGTGAATTGAACTTAACATGATACATTACTCATTTACAGAACTGCACAAACTCCTTTTTGGGACTCTGAATGGCTCTTTTCATACAGTACCTTGATGAGGTTTGTGAAGACAGATAAAACATATTTCGTAAATTGTATATGGATGAACATGGCATTTCACCATTCTCTCTAAGTCACAGACTGGTTTATAGCCCATCCCAGGATGAACTAACTTTTCCTTACAACTCAAGTTCTATTCCTCAACCCAGATCAATTATTTCATTAATTGTAGCGTTCAGTGACATAATCTTGTGCAATAAATGCTGGACGTCAAATGCAGAAGATTACCAGGGATTGATCAGGCATGCCAAAAAGATTAGTTTCCAGTATGTATCGCAAGAGAAGACTTAAGGTGTTATGTCAATGAGAGCTTGGGACCAAATTCTGGAGACAATGGTTGACTAGAACTGCTGTATTTTATATCAGATATCCTCTACATTGTTGAAAAGATGTAGATTTATATCCTTGTAGAGTCTACAAGGATATACATCTACATCTTTTCTGGCATGATGCTATATGCTATGCAGTAACTTTGGTTGTTTTATTTTTTAAACCTTCAAAAATAGTTGGACATGACACACCTTTTTTTCCTCAGGTGTGCAGGCAATGAGAATCTATCACCTTCTTTATTTAAAGAGACTTTTACAAAGACAACAGTAAAACATAATAAACATAATACTGGATGTGTAATACTTCCTGTTGTTTAAGCTCATTGTATAATGAGTGACAAAGTGTTATTGTGGGGAGACACAGTTTGTCAGCAACAACATCTACAACTACTGCAGCTACTTCATAGTAACTGATTGTAAAAAAAAACAAGCAAAAAGTGAATAAAAGTATTGAAGTTCCCATGACATGCTTTTCCGGTTATTACCCGTCCCCTTGTATGTTATGTAGCTTTTTATGCATGTAAACGGTCTGCAAAGTCACAAACCCTCAAAGTACAACCTGTGGCGAGTAAAACTCTAACACAGAAAAGACCTGTCCATGCTGCCCCAGAACGCCTCGTTGGAGATTTTTCTTTTTCCATTGTTTACTTCCTGGTCTAAGTGACGTAACGACGACCAAATGGACCAAGTGGTCCAAATGGACCAATCCGTGGAGCTCCTCAGTCCTCACACACACACACACTCACTCAGCCTTATCTTTTCTCAGCCGCGCTACTCCACGGAGTTTCGCCGGCACACACACTCACTCAGCTTTATCTTTTCTCAGGCTGTGAGTGTGTGGCGAACTGTGTGGCGAACAGCCTGGCTGTGAGTGTATGTGTGTGCTTAGGCTGAGTTCCGCGATGTCTCGCTGTCTCGCAGACCCCACGCAGCAACCAGGAAACGACACCAGTAATACAGCTCCACTGTCCGCTCCTCAATCCTTAAAGGGCGGAGCAGCGAGCCCCACAACGTCCCGCCAACACGGCACCCAGACCCCACGCAGCATTCTCATCTGTTTGTCATTACTGGTGTCATTTTCTAGTTGCTAACAATCGCCATTGTAACACATAATCACTGATGTTCCGCTATAACGGTGGTGGACTCATCAGAACAGAGTGGGCGAGCTGACCAATCAGAGCACAGTGGGCTCATAGGGAGGGGGGGCAGGAGCTCCAACAAGCCGTTTAGGACAGAGAGTGAATACACATACTATACAGAGATGCTGTATGAGAAACCAATGTGATTTTGGAACATTGAACGATGTAAATATATTCTAGTAGACCTCAACAATGGCATTATGATCAGTAGAAATGGCCATGACATGGGACCTTTAAATCACTGTTCTCAACATCAGCTCTGTTGTTTTTGTCGCTTGTTAAATTGTATGATATTGTCCTTATCATTCTACTTACATCAAACATTGGCATCAAATTAACTTCATAAAATATGACCAAATATCTTTTTTTTGTATGAGAAACAAAAATGTGCATAAAAGTACATAGTGCGGTAGATACAGGTGAGGTTAAGAGTGATCTTTACACAGAGCATAACAGATGATTTTGGGTCGTTGAATGCAGTTTAGTTTGATGTTCATTCAGTGTTGTACGAGTTGAATGAGTTGATGATTGTTTGCAGTAGCTGTGAGCATCTGCCGTGTGTGGTTAGAATAGTGTGCTCTTCCTCTACCTGTGTTCTGTTGCCTTTCCGGTCACCTATGACCTTATTTATACCCCTGTGCAGCTAACCCACACCACCAAGTGTTCAAAAATAATATTGCATTATAAAGCTAAACAAAATAATATAACTGCTCCTATAATTTGTATTACCTTTTTTAAATATTTTTAAAAATAAGGTATAGGTTAAATAAGATGTACTTATCCCTGCTCCTTTCCATTATGGGCTACACAAAATGTGTACATGTTTTGTTTTATAATAATTGCCATGAGTGGAATTAACTAATAAATAAATAGATGGATAGATAGATAGACAGATAGACAGATAGATAGATAGATAGATAGATAGATAGATAGATAGATAGATAGATAGATAGATAGATAGATAGATAGATAGATAGATAGATAGATAGATAGATAGACAGATAGACAGATAGATAGGTAGATAGATAGATAGATAGATAGATAGATAGATAGATAGACAGATAGACAGATAGATAGATAGATAGATAGATAGATAGATAGATAGATAGATAGATAGATAGATAGATAGATAGATAGATAGATAGATCGAAGATAGATAAATAGATAGATAGATAGATAGATAGATAGATGGATAGATAGATAGATAGATAGATATATAGATAGATATATTTATAAATGTATATCATTATACATTTTAAGAAAGACACACATGCTAGATCCATGTTTTCAATTCATGAAGTTTATTGAGTAGTTACTCCAGAAAATAAAGTGAAATGACCCACATGTTTGATTGACCTGGAATGATTAGGACTGTATCATTTACTGTTGGAGATGATTCTGAGTACAACATCACACACTGAACAAAACAGAGCTGATCAAACATCTGTAATAATTACTGGGTATCATTCACTTATATATAGGTGACATTTCAGTTCCCATTAAGTAGCCGCAGCAGTAGTTGTATGAGTGCAGCAATATTGGGGGTTGTGGTTGCCCCAGCCTGGGTAGTAGTCGTAGCTGTGGTAGTGGTGGTACTCTGCAAGAAAATCAGAAACATTCAGATTCAAATGTGTAAGAATTCTTCAGTATTTGACATATAGGTGTGTTGAATGTTGAATTAGAGACGTTAAAGAAAGCACTCACCTCTCCTGAATTTGACTCAGATGAGCTTGAACGAGCAAGTCGTTTATGCTCCATGTCATTCTGGAAAATAAATTCACATGTTGCAATTTTGAAACTGACTTTTATTGGATAAGAATCATACATTATATTGAAAATGGACATATTAAACTCACAGGACGAGCCAGAGCCAGGCTCAGGAGGCATCCAAGCACAAGAGCTAGCTTCAGCATGGTTACAGTGATCACACTGTCAAATGGAACAAATCAAGACTGATGCAGCTTTACTACAAAATTGGCAAAATCACCACCAAACTCACATATAAAGTACAGAAAAATAAGATGTATTTACCTTCAAATCTTTGCACCTTCAGCAGTTTATCTCGCAGAGAGTCAAGGAGGTTTTTGAGTTGCTCTTAATGTTGAGCTTTCCTTATATACAGTAAGAGGAGCGCATGTCATCCCATTACCAAACAGCAAGGTTGGGAAATTGTTATTTCTACCACCACATTTGAAGGTGTTGCTAATGATCAGAGATTGAAAACACTCCTAGATTTATGATAAGTTGCATTAATTTAATAGCTCAAATCAGAATGAACATACAGAGATCAATTGGATTTGTTTTCATAATCAGCAAACATTTTATATTAACACTGTTATCTAGGTTTAGTAGGTTTACACTAAACCCTTCAGTGTTGGCCAATCAGACAGAGATGTAATCAAGTAAATGTCTTGCATAGATAGATAGATAGATAGATAGATCGTACTTTATTGATCCCAAATTGGGAAATTGTTTTTGTTACAGCAGCATAAAAGGCATTTTACAATAAAACAAAATATACAAGAATAGAAATAAAATAAAATAAAATATAAAATGAAATATAAAATATACATGTCAAAATACAAAATAGAAAATATACATACAGATATTATATATATATATATATATATATATACAAATATATATATATTCAAAATATATGGAATTATGGAGTATTAAATATGAAACAGATTATGTGTGAGTAAAATGTACAAGGTGGTTTTATTTCTAGAGAAACTATGGAGCAGAGAGTTCTCTTCCAGCCAGAGGTGATTTGTTGTACAGTGTTATTGCAGTGGGCAGGAATGTTTTCCAGTATCTGTCCTTGTGGCAGGGGAGCTGCAGCATTCTGTTGGAGAAGGAGCTCCGCTGACTGTCCAGCTGCAGGTGGAGAGGATGGGTGGGGTTATCCATGATGGACAACAGCCTGTTCCGTGTCCTCCTCTCCACCACAGCTTCAAAGGGTTCCAGCTTGATGCCGATGACTGACCCAGCTTTCCTGATCAGTTTATTGATCCTGCTGGTGTCACCGGCTCTGATGCTGCCCCCCCAGCAGACCGCAGCAAAGAAGAGTGCACTAGCCACAACAGACTGATAGAAGATCTCCAGCATCTTACTGCATACGTTGAAGGATCTCAGCTTCCTCAGAAAATAGAGTCTGCTCATCCCCTTCTTGTACACAGCGTCAGTGTTGATCCTCCAGTTCAGCCCATTGTCTAAGTGCACTCCCAGGTACTTGTAGACCTCCACAACTGCCACATCCTCTCCCAGAATGCACAGGGGCAGAGGAGGAGATGTCCTCTTCTTCCTGAAATCAATGACCATCTCTCTGGTCTTGGCCACATTCAAAAGCAGATGATTTCTTCCAGTCCACTCAACAAAATCACCCACCAGCGCTCTGTACTCCTCCCGTCCATCCCTTATACACCCTACCACTGCAGAGTCATCCGAAAACTTCTGCAGGTGGCATGACTCTGAGTTGTATAGAAAGTCAGAGGTGTATAAGGTGAACAGGAAAGGAGACAGCACAGTCCCCTGTGGGGCTCCAATACTACCAACCACCACATCAGACAGCACACTGCCCAGCCGGACGTACTGTGGTCTGTCCGTGAGGTAGTTGGTAATCCAGGAGATGGTGGACGAGTTTACCCTCATAGCCTGCAGCTTGTCACTCAGTAGCCGAGGCTGGATCGTGTTGAATGCACTGGAGAAATCAAAAAAGGTGATTCTCACAGTGCAACCCGATCCATTCAGGTATGAGTGAGCACGCTGCAGCAGGTAAATAATGGCATCGTCCACCCCCAGGTGAGGCTGGTAGGCAAATTGCAGAGGGTCAAGGAATGATCTCACCTGCGGTCTGAGATGGGCCAAGACCAGTCTCTCAAGCACCTTCATCACATGAGATGTGAGTGCTACAGGGCGATAGTCATTGAGCCCAGAAGGAGTTGTCTTTTTAGGGACCGGAACAACGCATGATGTCTTCCACAGCACCGGGATGGTAACACTGTTATCTAGGTTTAGTAGGTTTACACTAAACCCTTCAGTGTTGGCCAATCAGACAGAGATGTAATCAAGTAAATGTCTTGCATGGACTCTCTACTTGTGAGACTACCTGAGCCAGCTTTGTACATAATATAATACAAACATTTCACCACTGTCTACAGCATGTACAACATTTCTGGAGGTATCTGAAGAGGATGAGAACGATATATGTGAATGCTAAGACAACCAGCGTGTATTCCTGGAGACAGTTTGGTTGGAAAACATAATAGGATACTTTGTTTTGTGACTCTAAAATGAATTGAATTCAAAGGCTTATCAGACACTGGAAGAACACTGGAATGGGATAAATGAGATGAATTGCTGACTATTTTTATATTTCTTGGCAAGAGATAGGTTAAAAATATTAAACATATTTAGAACAGAATTGCATTGCTCTCTTTTTGTTATTGGGCTAAACCCCAGCTGACTTGTGACAGCTTTCTTGCCAAACATATTTCATCACATAGATACAGTATATCCATCCAAATCAATGAATGACTTCAGAGAAACTCTCCAACAAAGGATGACTGGACTGCAATTGTTAACTAAATGAACTGCATGTGTAATTTTACCTTCACATTACAATATGATGGATCCTATTACATACTTCTTTGAATAACCCCTTTTGTGCCCATGGCAATACCTTGTTTTGGGTTTCTTTGACACATATTAATCTATATTTACATCTCATTATTGTAATTTTTAGTAAGTATGTTTGAAGATCAGGCATGGCTGCCCCTGGCCAACTTGTGGCCTTACGCAAAGGTGTTTCCTGAGGCCCCCCGGGTCTGTACTCAAGTTGTCACTCATAGCTTTGAATGAACAATAAAGCCTCACAGGTTCTTAGTAAAAAAAAATGAAGTTTGTTTTCGGTCAAAAGGAGTTCTCATTGGCAACATGACACTTGTTCAGGGTCTTTCAAAGACACGTGTAATGGGTAATATAATATTGTGTTAAAGGTGGGGTAGGTAAGTTTGAGAAACTGGCTCGAGATACACTTTTTGTTATATTCCATGGAATGCTCTTAACATCCCGATAGCAATGAATATCTTAAGTGCTTTGACAAAAAATCCATAAAAAAATTTCATCTGTGGAAACCGTAATACTGTAAAAAGCACGACCAATCATTTTAGCCGGCCCGGCTAAAATAACTGGATGGCCTACCTGCCTGTCAGCCTTCCATCTGTGCACAAACTTATCTCGTGCCCTCATTGGTCATGTGCGCGTTCGTGTGTGTTGGAGGAGGGGCTCTGTAAGGAAGTGGAAGATTTTTTCCGGCTGTGTATTTTCAAATTCTAGCACACTCCAGCTGGTTTCTCCAAAATTACCTACCCTACCTTTAAGGGACATTTCTGCAAGCAATTAATTTTATTAACAATTGCATTCAATCCTTTTTTGTAAGTGTTTTGCTGCAGCTATTTCAGTGTGAAAGCTTGTCAAATGTCATTTATTGTAAAAAGATATTCATCCTGAGTCACGAAAAGGTAGATTAGTATTGCATTTCTGCTTTGTTATATAATAATTGCCATGAGTGGAATAATTAGATAGATAGATAGATAGATAGATAGATATCATTATACATTTTAAGAAAGACACACATGCTACAGTAAATCCATGTTTTCAATTCATGTCGTTTATTGAGTAGTTACACCAGAAAATAAAGTGAAATGACCCACATGTTTGATTGACCTGGAATGATTAGGTCTGTATCATTTACTGTAGGAGATGATTCTGAGTACAACATCACACACTGAAAAAAACAGAGCTGATCAAACATCTGTAATAATTACTGGGTATCATTCACTTATATAGCGTTTTGCTGCAGCTATTTCAGTGTGGCAGCTTTTCAAATGTGTTTTTATTATAAACAGATATTCATCCTGAGTCGTGAAAAGGCTGGGGTTTTGCCCAATGTAAAAAAAAAAAAGATCATTCAATTTCTATTACAAATGTTCTTTTCAGCCGTGTCTTGCCAAAACATATGCAGAAGGGATTCAACGCAGGAGATTACATTTACAGATTTCATTGCATTTGTTTCCTTATTTTTTCAACGCTAAAGGGAGAATGGTTAAGATACTACATTAAAGTGGTTGTGTAAAATATTTTGTGACAACTAAAACTAGTAATTTAATATTTAATTTGAGACTAATTAGATTAACTACAATCCTTTCTGATATGAGGTATTACATGAATGCAACACACCGTCATACGGTGTTTGGTTTCCATCTCTGATCCACACCTTGAAATGTGGAGGAGGGAGATTTCCTAATATTTGCAGTTTCCCAACATTGTTGTTACCTTGCTAATGAGAGGACACCCACTCCTGTACCTGTATATAAGCAAAGCTCAACACTCAGAGAAACTCAAAAACCTCCTCGACTCTCTGCGAGACAATCTGCTGAAGTTGTGAAGAATTGAAGGTAATTATATATTTTCTTTCTTTACTTCTAAGTGGGAATTTGCTCATATTTTAGAAAAGCTGCATCACTCTTTATTTCTTCCTTCTAACAGAGTGATCACTGTAACCATGCTGAAGCTAGCTCTTGTTCTTGGATGCCTCCTGAGCCTGGCTCTGGCTCAGCCTGTAAGTGTAACATTTTCAAACTTAATATCAGTACTTTTCTTCTCATACCGTGATAAAAGTATTTTAATTGTTTTTAGTAAAATGAAGGCAGTATCATAATTGTGGCTTTCCCTACAGATGGACACCGAGCACAAAAGACTTGCTCGCTCAAGCTCTGGCTCTGGTTCTGACTCAAATTCAAATGAGGTGACTGCTTTCTCTATCCTCTACAGTTCAACATTCTAAACACTTGATTGTGAAATGATATACAATTCCCTAGCTACTCCTCTGCTTTATTTGACAATAACTCTCTGATTTTCTTGCAGAACAACAACAACAACAACCAGCAGGCCATTAACGTCCAGTTGATTCAGGCTATCCTTCAGCTGTTAAACCAGCTAGCGACCACTGCAGCTACAACTACAGCTGCTACTACAACTACTGCTGCTCCTACTACCGCAGTGGTCACTCCC